TTGGGGAGATATTGGTCAAAAACCACAGAATTTCAGCTAGGGGTAGTAAGTTCAAGGGATCTGTTGTACCAGATGGTAACTTAAGTTAATAACAATGTATTTTGCAAATTGCTAAGAATAGGTTTTTAAGTGTTTTTGCCATAAAAAATGAGTACATGTAAGGAAAACATTTGTTAATTACCTTGACTGAGCCATTCCACAATGTATACATATTTCAGAAAATCATGTAGTACACAATTAATGTATAGGATTCTTATTTTTCATAAGAAAGAATATTTATCTGACTAGCTTTCATGTGGTGACTTAACATTTCTTTTTCCCCTAGGGAAAAGTTAACGATTGGGTGTCGCCAGCTGTTTGAGATGGAGTGTACCATGCAGCAGTGCAATGCATCTGTCTATATGGAGGCCAAAAACAGGGGATGGTGTGAGGACATGCTCAATTACAGGACTTAAGTGCTGATTTGTAACTGAAGAGGGATTGCTTTTGTCATCATGAATAACAGAGTAACTTTCAACCTGGTCTCTTTTTTGAGCCAAATTCTATTGAGAATTTTGAAGTTTTATAGGTACAAAAAAGTGATACTACTGACAATCTCATTGAAGCTCTGAAAAGCTTAATGCATCAGATGTGGGATAAATTGTTGATTCTTCTAGAGTTGACAGTATGTCCATACCTCTATCTGATACTGAGCCAGTATCTCTAAGGAAAAGAGAGCCATCTTTTCAGTCTTACTATGGCAGAAGCCATTGTGGCATCTGAGGAAGGCCCAGGACACATCATTAGCGTCTCTCCCAACCCTGAGTATGGGCACATGATCAGACACTGCTAGATGCTAAGAAAAAATTAGGACATGACCATGCTTACCACATTCCACAAATAAAATCTCGTCCTGGGTTGGTTTTGTTGTTTGTTTTTCATGGTACTGGGATCAAAACCAGGGGTGTACTACCACTAAGTTACATCCCCACCCCTTTTTATTTTTTGAGACAAGGTCTAAGTTRTTAAGGCTGGCCTTGAATTTGTGATCCTCCTGCCTCAGTCTCCCAAGTTGCTGTGATTACAGATGTGTGTCACTATGCCCATCTGTCCTGGGCTGCTCTTATGATCAAACTTTGAGTCAAGTAAACCTGGTGGAAATAACACCACTCCCACCTTCCTCTGGGTAATGAAAGAATTTTTTATTTTATTGAGATATATTCTTTCTACTTTTATATTTGTTTTAAAAGCATTGTTTTAAATTTTCTCTAGTTGAAATGTTTGGTTTTTCTTTCTCCCCCCTTCCTTCTTTACCAATCGTAAGCTTTATTGTTAGTTTTACCCTTGTTCAACACAGGAGATTGCAAGTTTTCCCCTGCTCTGTACTTTCTCTGGCTCCCCACTGTTTTAGAGTTAACTCACTTGGCTTATGAATCTCAAGCCCCATGCTGTATAACTTTAGGCTCTGAACTCTCCATTCTTTAATATGTATAGCTGGTATATTTGGGGCAGAAGCCATAAGAAGCATGCTGTGAACCCAAAGAGACTGATGAGAAAATTCATACCAGAGGAGGGACTTTCTATACAAATACCCTTGGCCTTGACCTACTGAGGAGCTTTGAGGGTGGGTATTCCAGCAATGTTCCATGCTTAGGTACAAGATCCCCTTTTATCTGCCTTTTCAACTTATTTAGAAAAAGTAAAATTTTACCAAAAAACTTGTTTCCCTCCTGGGAGGATCGCATGCTCTGGTTTGGAGAATTCCCCAGCTCTCTCTATATTCAGGGCAAAGGAAAAGTGTTTTAAAAATTGAGATTTGTTGTATTCCACTGGGTCCTCTTGTTAGGACATGCAATTGTGGCAAAAGCCATAAGAAGCATGCTAAAACATTTGGGTTCACAGCATGCTTCTTAGGCAATTGTGGCTGTACACATTAGAATTTCAGAGACAGATTTCATTTTCACAATGTGGGTGTTTGTGCCCCATGTAAAATCAAGTGATGTAAGACAGAGCCAAAGTTCTTCCCTTGTTACTTTGAATGCAATCTTCAGGAAGAACAGAGGCCTTTTCAGGGCCAATCTACATTTATTTGGATAGTGTATTGGTCAATTTTCAGAGTTTAGGTTATAATGTTCATATTACTGATATCTGGCAACTCCCTAGATCAGCCCCCTACCGTGATGGATTGGGAGGAATTTATATCTTAAGGGAAATATAACTCATTACTGAAAAATCACATCTCTCATTCTCAGAAATTGATGCTGCTTATAGCAACTCTAATGTAAAGACTGGACAGGCCAGCCACCTTCATATTTTGGTGGCTGCTGCTGGACTATTTTGCTAATAAAATCCACCCTAGTGAATGTACCAAAATTCCACAAGGGAGGGAAGTACACTACTTTTAGTCTCTGAATTAAGAGAATTAAGTTGTGGTCAAAAATATTTTTAACCAATTGACTTTCAGACTCAACTACTAAAAAGGACATGCTCTACCATTCCTACCAAAGTTTGACTGGAAAACTGCTTGTGATGTTTGGTGAAAAGCCACTTTTAACACCTTCATTTTAGAATGCTTGACTTTATGTTCTTTGAAGTTTCTTGACTGCTGGTGGAAACAAGAACTGGCCAAAGTGTGTGTGTGTGTGCGTGTGTGCTTTCTTCTCATTACAGGAATCCTTTATAATTCTGATCTAGTTTCATTTGTAAACTGGATTGATATGCCTCAAGTTTAATTCTGAATGCTGAAAGCATGGGGGACAGATTTTTGGGAACTACATTAATACACCTGGAGAGTTATTTGTTTGTTGTTAGTTGTTCCTAAACTGCAAACCAACTTTAATATTCTGCCTTTTGAGTCTCATTTACAACTTTACTGTAGACTAATGATCACAGGCTAACCCACATTAGCTCAGTAGACTTCTGCAAGGTAAGAACCCTTACCTGGTGTGATTTCTAGTGAGGTAAAAGACAGACATGACCTAGCCCTTCATTATAGGTTTGGCACCACTTTCTTTGTTGATTTCTGAGTTTTACCCAACACACTGTGAAAGTTCTATCACTTCTAATGCACGTCCCCCACCTCAGGAGGCGGAGGCCTGTTTTCTTTTCCAGAATGCTAAATAACAGTATGGCTTTATTTCCCATGATGCTGGAGATCCATCCATAGGTCTATCCTAATATCCCAGTACAATGAGTATACCAGTTTACTTGTTTGTTTACCATTTGGAAAGCTTTGATTTCAGTTTTTAGTATTATGAATAAAGGTGCTATATTTACATTCAGGTTTGCTGAACATGTTCCATTTCATTTGATAAATACCTGTGAATTAGACAAATTTGGTCAGAAACTGCCGAACATTTTACTGAGTGGCTATATAATTTTGCTATTTTTTTCCAGCAATTTATGAGCTACAGTTGCTCTGCATCCTCACCAGAATTTATTACCTAGTCTTAGTAGATACATATCATTTTGGTTTTTATTACATTTTCACAATAACTTATATTCCTATTGGCCATTCACTTATTTTTGTCGTTTAAATTTTTTACCCATTTAAAATTAGATTTGACTGAGGATATGAATGGGAGAGTATCTGCATAGCATGTGTGAGTCAAACAACTGAACTATGCAAATCCTTTGTATTTTCTTGAGCCTGTACCTCCAAGGGTTAGTACCACTTTTGGTTAAGAGAAACAAACATTTGTTTTAATACATAAGAAGTGGGAGATATCTCAGTAGATGGTTGGCCTATTAATTACTGATTGGATGGCTAGATGCATGTGATAGATGCCTTCATCTTTATCTTATTTTTTCTTTCTCTCATAAGTCAGGTATTTTGTGTTATGCCCCCCTTTCCAGACTAAAATTATACTATAGCACTTCCCTAGATTCCTGTTTCCTTGTACATACTGAGCTCTTGTTTCTTCAACCCCGTCCTGCCCCAAGAAGGTATGGAGCTGTCAACAGTGAAGTCCAAAACTGTGTGTGTATGTAGTTCAGTAGTAGAGAGCTTGCCTAGCATATGCAAGGACTAGACTCAACCCCAGCACTAGTAGGTTGAAGAACCCATGACAATACTTATTTATAGTTTTAAGACTCTTGAGAACAATTATTCCTTTATAACCAAAGGTAGTGATGAATATAATGTTTATAGGACTGAATTTGTGGGTTGGCCTTCCCTTGAAGATTCATAAATTGATGTTTTTTCTTGTCTTTCCTTCTCTTCACTCATGTTAAATTGCGTTAGGCATTATGTAGCACTTGGATTCTTCAGATTTGGGGGAACAAATTAAGTGACTGAAGCCAGCTCTGAAGATGCAGAAATGCTCTATTGGGACTGACTCTTTCCCTGACCACTTAAGAATTTGATTCTAGCAGTATATCATATCCCTAAATCAAGGATTTTTCCCTTAAATTATTTTTATGTAGGGAATTCTAAAACATTTTAAATAAATTCATGCCTAAGGATAGCCAATTACTTGGTAAATTAAAGGCAAGTATTTTACCTGGAGGTGGCACATACCTGTAACACCAGCAACTTGGGAGGCTAAGGCCAAGAAGAGCAACTTACTGAGACTCAGTCTCAAATTAAAAGGGGCTACTCGGTGATAAAGTGCCCTTGGATTATATCCCCAGCACCCTAAATAAACCAACAAAAAAATGCAAATGTTTTATAAAATGCTACTGTTTTAGAAAATCTAGTATGTTTTTTACATACTATTACAAGAAATCAAAGTTGTGGTGTTATGAATTATATTTTTAAACCATTCTATAACATATATTGGTAAAACCAAAACAAACCCCGAATTTTTAAAAATTATGTGACTATTGTTTTTCGGTTGTTTTCCCCCACATGAAAACTTGTGTTCAGGAAGATTAGCCATAATAACTTCTTAAAAAACGTTTAGCCACCAAACTCCCTGTTTCGTCATCAATGGTAATGCAGGAAAACTTCGACACAAAGCATTCCCATATATTATTTGCATAAAGCATGTCACTTAAGAAATGAAAAGTGATTTCAAGGATTTTAGTGCTGAATCCTCAACTTAAACTTTATTTCCTTGTGCTGAATAGAACAAACACAGATCCATAAACAACAGTCATCCTAGTAGGCAAATTCAAATTTAAACTTCTCGTTTTAGTTCAGAAACAAACCAGAGACAGATGGTTAGTCAGGAACTACACAGTAACCAGGTGAACTGATTTCCTTTCTTGGTTTTCTGTAAAAACAGATGAGAGAAAGGTGGCAAAGTACCAGAGTACCAACATATTTCAAGAAAATATTCAATTTTTTTTCCTAACCCAAGTTAGCTACTGAATAGTCCTCTCATCCTACATGGCTCATTAGGTTCCTGTGTTTCATTGTCTGTGACAAGAAAAAACACCTTACATTATCCATTTCTTTCAGATGTAATATGCCAGGTGGGTATTTTCCCCAAATGCTTTAACTCTTCCTCACTGAAAAATTTTCCCCCAAACTTTTAGTAATGAATGAGTACACAAACAACTGGGTATTAATCCCATGGTGCAAGGATTTCCTGCAAAGTACCTTTAATGTGTTTGCATCTGCAGCAAGCATTAGGACGTGCTAAGTTTGGCACCATCAGTTAGGCGTGTAACACTACACATTAGACACCAAATCATCCCCCAGATTTATCCATATGAGCAAAAAAAAAAAAACTGAGCAAAAATGTAGTTCTGATAAAGGCTGCATTCACAAACCCAACACAGTTTAAACTTTTTCAATCAAGGGCTTCTGTTTAGTATTCTTTTGTTAATGATAAATAAAAGCAGAATTATGGAAGATCAAATACTTCACTGTTCTTTTATATAGTTAAATCTCTTGCTGAATAAACTATACCCTCAACAAATCAAAATACTTCAAACCAGTGTTTCAAATACCAAAAATCATCACTATGTTACTGTTCAGCAACTCCATTCAAAAAAACGTTGGTACTGCATTCTCAGAAGAAAAAAAAAAATGCAGCTGAGCCAAATGCTTAAAAGTTTGCATTCTGAGCATTTAAAAGAATCACTCCACTCTGCATCCTTTAAGATTGCCACTCTGCTTCACTAACTTGAATCTGCCATATTTTACTTCAACAGGTAAAGCACTCTGCTGAGAATATAAAAAGTTATAAAAAGGCAATCATAAAAGATTAAATATTGGTAGGCAAGTTAGCTTTCTTTTAATAAAAACAAAAATAGTTATTGTCTTCTATTTAAATAAGTATCTTTTGTTATAGAGTGTTCCAGTTATTGAAAAAGGGCCCTTAAAAAACCCAACTGCCTACATCTTTAAACCCTACCCCCTCTTGCCCCATAATACACATTTGAGGGAAGAGTCATTTAATGTGCAAATTGGCAAAACAAATGTGGAGGAGAGGGGATTTCTTGAAATGATGTGCCCAATCAATTCTTGGTTTATTCTTTTACAATATCAATTTCCAAAAAGTAAAATAACCAAAGAAGTCTTAAAAATACACACAAAAAAAATCATCTTTGCATTCCTTTCCAAACACAAAAAAGTATGTACAGCATGTAATAATATGCAATATGCAAAAGCTTTGTGTTGCTGTTAGCAACATCTATACCCACCCACCCTCCTTATTCACAAGTGTACCTCTACTAAACACAATTACATCACTAAGCCTGTTAGTTTGAGAGGGTCTTAAAATGTGTTAAAACTGGAAAATCTTTGTGTAAGGGCTCCACTCATTTGACTCAAGGTTATAGACTTCGACCGTATTCAAAAATTCATTGCCATCAAATCCTCCCACTGCATAAATGGTACTCCCTACAGTTGTGATCCCAGCATTGCTCCTTGGTGAAGTCATATTTCCCATCATCTTCCATTCATTTCTAGTTGGATCATACATCTCCACACAACTGATAGCATGAGAACCATCAAAACCACCACCTACAAACAGTTTTCCTAGAAGAGAAATTAGACAGAGTAAATCTGAGAGGCTAAAGTAATGAAGAAAACCCCCAGGCCTGTTTTGTTTTCTTTCTTTTTTTGAAATGTGTTGTCCAGGCTGGTCTTTAACCCCTGGACCTATCTCAGCCACCTGAAAGCTTTAACCCCTTCCATCTCAGCCACCTGAAAGCTGGGATTACAGGCACATGCCTATCTGGGTCTGTCTCTTACTAAATGAAACTAGTTGTTTTTAAGTAGAAATGCCTATTAGTTCTGCCAAAAAGTATTAACTGCCTACATAATAAGGCAATAAGCATTCTCTAGAAGCTAGGGATACAAAATGAGTAAGGTGGATAAAAACGCATTCCCACATGAAACTTAGGCAAACTTGGTTGGGGGGACCTACAGCATCTAAATCAAGTACAAGTCTCACAATTCTTTATGGTAGTTGCTCTAGGACATTAGGATACTTGCTACTATGTCCACACACTTAAGCTTTTCCCTGTGGAGCCATAAGCTACCAAGATTCAGCTTTGTTCCAAAAACAATGCTTACTAAATTGTTAAGATTATATAATTAGACATTAAGTAAATCAAAGAGGGCAACTATATAAAACAAAGTATAGAGTGGACAACTAGAAAATACAGGGATTTGCATTTACATTCTTTTGAAATCAAGTTAATTACTGCTTTGAAGGAAGGGAAACTCAAAATCCAGGATGATACATTTATTGGGTATGGTTTATGGAGTAAAAATGATTTGGAACTTTACTGAGTACACCCATCAAAAGATTGGTGATGCCTGTAATCCACAATTATTTTGGAAGCTGAGGCAGGAGGATTAAGTTGGAGGCCAGCCTGGGCAACTTAGTGAGACCCTGCTCAAAATAAAATGCTGGGATACAGCTCAGTGATGGAATGCTTGCCCAGCATGCACAAAGCCCTGGGTTTGAACCCCAGCACTGCAAAATGGAAAAAATAGAATATATATCAAGTTTTGAACTTCTGATTTTGAGTCTCCAAAGGACAAATGCCCAATTCCCATTGCTTTAAAAGAGATGGCTGTTTCTAATTCTTAATTTTTTATAAGCATATAGTTATTATCGTTGACATTTTCTTGGAATTTTAGAACAAACTCTTGCCAGTATCTACCCTTCACCTCTTCAAATGTGGACACTTACCATCAAGAACAGCTACCCCAGCTCCTCGCCTCGCTATATTCATGGGTGCAATTAAAGTCCAGGTGTTATTTTCAGGATTGTAACGTTCTACTGTGTTCAGACAATTCCAAGACTCTGCACCTCCAATTATGTACAGATAACCACCAAGTTCACAGACTGCAGACTGGTGTCTACCTATAGAATCAAGTCAAACCAAGATTACTCCTACAGTTACCCAAACTATGTATTCTACACATACTGGTAATGTGTTTATTTTAAAAAAAAAAAATAATAATGACTTACGAATGTTAAGAGGAGCACAGCTTGTCCATGACTTTGTTACAGGATCAAATACATCACAATTTTTCAGCCCCTTTTGACCATATGGATCAGAGCCACCAACAATGTATAACTTTCCATTGAGAGCACACACTCCTATGAAAGTATAAAATATGATTATATACTTATTACTTCATTTTCTTATTTAAATACTGGCTATCTCAGAAGAAAAATATCATTACCTGCATTACAACGATTAGTTCTCAACTCTGGAACAGGAGTCCAGTCATCGATGTTTGGATCATACATCTCTCCACAACTCAGGTCATCTGAGTGGCCGTTTGATCCACCTACCACATAGAGCTGACCCTATGCCAAAAGTAGGAGATGAAAATTTCTACCCTTCTGAAGTTATGAGAAAAAAAGCTAAATATGGATTGTTTGTGCAACATGTGCTTACCATGAGTACAGCCATTTGAAATCGAGCTCTTGGCGTTCTCATGGGAGCAAGGAAGGACCAATGATCTGTATGTGGATCGTAGCATTCAACTGTTCGAAGACATTCTTCTCTGTTATAGCCACCTGTAAAAGAAACATCAAGATTAAACTGGGCTAGGCTTTCTAATCCAGAATGGCTTAGAGTATTGTGCACAATGAGAAAAAGTATGAAATATTAAGGACCCATTAGTTGATATTTTAACTAAATGCTTCTGTTAGTTGAGAATATGGAATTATTCATATAACTGGGAAAGGAAAAATTTGCCCCACTCTATATTGTCTTTTTCTTTTTTTAAATTAGAAACTGGGCATGTGGCTCACTAGTGCAGTAGTAGAGTGCTTGCCTAGCATGCCCTGGGTTTAAGTCCCAGCACTGTGGGGGGAAAAAACAAAACAAAAAAACTCCATAGGAAAATTGAAACAAGATACTAATCTTGTTTCAGTTCACAAAACAATAGTATTTACTTGTTATTAGTGTGCAGGAGAAACAAAGTACACTATACTCCCAAAATGTGTAGGCATGACACAAGCAAATAAAAATGCCTTACAGGCTTACCTGGTTAAAGTCAAGTCACCAATCCTTTTGGCCTTACCTGCAGCTATGAGTTTGCCATTCATCTCTGCTGTACCCAAACCAGATCGTGCATACTGCATGGGAGACATGGGCTTTTCTATTAGTTCATCTGGCTGCATCTCAAAGCTTAAACTCTTGACTAGTTTTGGAGTACTTGTTGGTGAGCTCTGTGGGCTATTTCGACCATGAAGGAAGATCACACAGAAGATACCATCCAGCACAGCTAGGCACAAGTAAGTGTTATCTGTAAACACAAGAATTCCACATTAAAAAAGAGGAAATCCGTAACTTTTGATTGCTACATGATTCTGAATTAGACTCCAGAGTTTCCAGCCCAGACTGGAACATTTTCTACTGTTTTCCAAGTTTAACTGGTTCTGAATTTTTAGGTAGTCAATTTAAAAGCATTAAATTGACAACACTCCTTAAAAATAGATAAGCTGAAGACAAATCTGGTCAATGTCATATACTTACTCGAAGTCTTCTCCGAAGCAACGATTTTCCACTCATGCTTAGGGCTTTGTACTGTAGCATTTGGAGAAGAGAGACATCCAGTGGAACTGCTACTTATCTGCTTATGGCCATTCTCACGTGGTGGCTTTTTCTGCAAAATCAAAAGGTAGCTACAGAAACCTAGCCAAAGACCATACCTGGTGTACCTTTGTTACTGAGCTATTCCATATCACACTGCCAAAACACTGAATAGTTTCCACTTATATAGGACACTTAAGAGCGCACTAAATCTAACACAAACCACCACTTTCAAATCGACGCAAATTACAGGCATACTTGTATCTCCACTTAATAAGGACACAACTATACCTAACTGGTCTGGTCAGGAAAAAACTCAAACATTTCAAATCACATGCTTCAGATCAAGTGTCGAAATGGTATCTCCTCAACAGGGGGATGGGGATGGGGAGGAAGAAAAAAAGCAAACTAATTCACATAAGCTCATTTTTTTTTATATTAAGTACAGAATCTCCCAAAAGACATTCTAAATTTAAAATGGCATTGAGTTAATTGAGAGAATATTTAACCTCCCATCTCCAAGAAACTGTCAAATCTAACTAAAGTATATAATGTATCCTTCATACAATGCCAGCAAAAAGTGAGCAGGCATAGGTTCATCCAGTCTCTCTCAAAATATTTTACAGGAAAAAGTGGCAAACCTAAGAAACACTTAAGTGTACTTCCTTTATGGCTGGTGTTATGTACAGGTATCATATAGTGGGATTCTCTAGACAATACCATATCAGAACACAAAAAATTTAAAAAGTAGTAACCAGAAATGAAATGCTAAAAGAACCAAATATTCATAAAAGTATAATATACAGGAACACCGACAAAGGGAAAAATGGCCAAAGCTGCCAATTCAAAGAAGAACCACATACATTCTCATATATAAGCTTCTTTCCATGGCTTTCTTCCAGCTAGCTACATGAGCCTTTGCCACTTCCAAGGAATATGATCATTTGGAACTGAAAGAGTCAAGAGTACCCTGGGAGAATTGCCAACTGACAGGTACCAGCTTCAGTACTTAACCCACTCTGCTCATTCACTTACTCTGGTGCCCAGGGCCCAATCACATGGATAGGTTAAGATTTATAATGGAACTTTCTGTTTCTAGTGAAAACAAAAAATCATATAACAACTTATAGAGGAAGATTTGACAGCTACTGGAAGCTGTAAAAAACACTATCAGAAGTCAGGTCTGGGCCATTCAGCAAGTGTGGTAAACAGCATATGTGGACTACTTTGAGCAAATACAGAAATATACCATGTCAATGTCATCATTAAATTCCCCTGAGACAGCCTGGTATTACTGGATACTTTATTCATATTATCTCTTTTTCATGAAGTGAAAATAGGTTACACTGCCTCAGATGATACATAAGACAATATGCTAAAATTAAGATTAGGAATTCTGAGAATGAGGCCCATTCTTCTTATACTGTGACATTTGCCACAGTATAGAAATACTAGGAATAAAAAATAAGGTTTGTGTATCTAACTTCATCTGTTATTTGGAATTACAAAGTACATAAAAACCTCATTACAATTCTTGGGAAGAATGGGTCCAAAGTATCACAAATGAGTGTTATTAACTGCAGCAAAACTAATGTATGGACTATAACTGACAGAATGACTGTGGAAGAAAAAGGCACTGTAACACTGAAGACTAGTGTTATACAACAAACAACTCAGAAACACAAGTTAACTCCTTGATACAGTATCTATCCCTCACCTTATTTTACATGACCTCCCACAGAAGGATTTCACAGTTTACAAATTTATTCTGCCTTCAACTTTCTTCTCCTACCTTAACATGATTAAATTCTAATCATATTCTTACCTTTCTAATGGCTGCTTCTCAACCTCCTTTTCCTATTCCTGAAAGCTGCAGAAAGAACTCTCATCCATTCTACCTTACAAAATGTCTATTCATCCTAACAATTCACATGTGTCAGGATCCCCACAGTTACTCATATAAATTCTTCTTGATATCTATGGGATATAAAGTATAAGCCCATTCAGGTAGTATTTAGCTACCAGTCTCCAAGAGCAGCATCCTTACATAGATAACTTGCTATCTAACCCCTATCTGCTATATAAATACCTCCAAATACTAAGATTGCTCAAATTTTGCCTCCTCTGTGAAATATTCCTGGTTTCTCACCTCTTGTCTCTACTACAACCTCCCCTTTAGTGCAACTTGTAAGTCTGTATTGTTTAACATCCACTCTGATGAGGTCCTATAAGCAGAAGCTATTTCTTTCATTTTGGGGTCCCCATGCCAAACATCATGGCCTGTCACTTATTGGGCATTCAACTTCTGCTTTTTGAAAAACATACTTTAAAAATGTAACTTAAAATATTTATAGTTAATAGATAAAATACCTTTATTAAAAATGCACAAACATGAACAAAATTCTCCACCAACTCAAACCCCAAAATTATTTTAAATAAAGATATTAAGCCACTATTACCATAGACCTCCTCCACAGAATTAACACTTAGTAATATCCTGTGTGGTTATTGTACCATCATTTACCTTCTAATTTTTAAGGGAAAACACTCTTTAATCTGGGTTGACTATTTACTAGCTTATCCTTCATAAATATGAAGTTGAGTTAAAGGCCAAATTTTAAATACATACTGTATGACCATTTGTATAAATTTCAAACATAGGCAAATGCTAAGATTGCTCAATCTATTTCGGCAGAAGTTAGGCCATGATATCCTCGGGTTGAGTAGGATTGTGACTAAGAAGGGGTAGATAAAGGCTAAAGATACTAGAAATCTTTTTTTCTTGATACGGGCTGTGTTTATACCAGTTGGTTCACTGTGTGACATTTTAAGGTTTGGGGCTGAAGATGTGACTTCAGTGGTAGAATATATGCCTTGCATGTGCTTTGATCCCAAGCACTGGAGGGAAAAATTGTGTACTTCTCTGTATTTTATATGTCCATAAGCTACATGGTTCATACCTGAAATGTATGTTCTCTCTCAAGCATGTGTTTACCCACTAAAGGAAGAGGGAAATGAAACTGGACTCTATAAAAGGCAAAGTAACTTCATCAGTACAACAGAACCATACTACTTTAGTTCATTTTGCTCAAGAAACATCTAGAACAAGTAATAACATAGGACGGACCACTTTTAAGTTTATGCCATTTCTAATTTCAAATAACAAGACATCAATAATTAAAGAAACATCCAATATTTCTTTCATAGCCATCAACAACTCAGAGTCCTCCTACATCTCTATCAAAATTGGGTTTATCAATCATGCCTGTTGCAAACAGCTAATTTTTGTAATCTAACCAAAACAAAATATTTCTGTATTGCTTCAACTTACTGTGCTTTTTTCTTACTACTTGTGAATCCTACTTTATGAGAAAAAAAAAATCTAAATGGGATTTTAACATGGTGAGTTAACTTCTTTTCACATGGCAAAAATGCTAGTAACTCTGATATGCTTCCTTTCTCCCAAAAATGTTTCTGTCCAGTCATACCAATGAAATTCGTTCACTTTCCTTTATTAAAGGAAAATTTAAGTATTTCATAAAATTGTCCAAATTTTAACCTGAGGTTACCTCAGACTGTGCAATGTGTACCTGCACAAACTGAATGTGGTCATCATCACTGCCAAAGACCTCAGCCTGTCCATCTAGTAGGTTCCCATCAAGCAGCTTGTGATCAGCTGAGTAGTACAAGGTTTGAACCTGCAAAACAGCAACAGAACACCCATGTGGCTACTGTCACCATGGCTACTCCACTAGTATGCAGATTACACAAACGCCTCAAGGTAACCTCCAGTGTGGTTCTTGAGCTTCTTGACTTCTTACTCTGGCAGGATTCCGAAGTAAAGAAAAATACATGTCATGGTGGTAAAAATTTAAAAAGCAAAAACAAAAAAGCAAAAGCAAATACAAAATCTTCCAATACTGGCTGAAGAGTCCTTGGCTTGACTGGCTTGAAAGAAATCTTCATTTGTTTCATAGCTTCTATTACATTAAGAAAAAAGGCACTAGTACAATTTATAGACTCTTAAAGAATATACATATTTACAAAAAACTATTGAATAGTTTACACCTTTGAAGATAAATGGTCTGATTTGTATAAACATACTTCTCTCTTGTAGGTAATGTCAAGAAAAACATAAAAAAAAAAAGCAAAAATTCAAGCAAGCTGTAGTTATCCTCTTTTAACAGATGCAAATATATGGCTAGCGCATCTGATAAGTGGGAAATCACAGAACTTAAAGATCAACTGTTAGCCTTTTTAGAACATAATGACAACAGTATTTTTATAGGACTAACAGATTTGGTAATCCTTTATTGATCCTGAAAGGTTTATGGGGAGCAATAAACTCAAGGTTACTCCACTGCTCCACCTGTATATTTTTAATTCCCACCATTTCTGTATCAATTTTTTTCTTATGTATTTTTTAAAAGTAGCCCAAGTTAAATGAGTGACTTTATGTATTAACAACACCATTGAAAAACACAAAGCTTTAGAGATAAGAATCCTGTAAAGGAGTAAACACCATTAAATCATCATCGTTCTCTGCCCACAGCGGATTTTTCTTAGGAGAACTGGGGCAGGACTGCTGCTTCTTTACGTGTCAATACACTTGAGGTTTCTTCTTGTTTCTTCAGTCTTGGGTATCCTAGTTTTGTTAATAAACCTATGGGGAGATAAACCAATGGGGAGGAACAACCATTAGAAGCTTTACCTACTTGTCAAACTTAAAGCAAAAACCTGTGAAGAAAAATTAAGAATCTACAGAAAACTTCAGTACCACCTCCCATTTCTAAAGCAAATTACATGCTACTTTAAAGAAAGTTAACAGCACATAATAAGCAAAGAAATTTGTAAAAAAGAAAAAAAAAAGAAAAGCAGAAGACCAAACTGAACAGTTCATTCAGCTCACCTGGACACCCCCCCTGTTTCTCAGCTTAGGGGTACCTATAGCAAAATTTAAATTCTTTAGGGTCATGGTTATAAAATAAAAGTGAAAGGGAATCCTTCATGTTATAGCAAAATAATTTTTAAGAATTGTTCAATCCCATTTACTTTAGAACTAACCTCTTCCATCAGCTCTTCCAGACTGTCTCCATTCTCCCAGATGCTACGCTGCACCCAGTTGATTACCTTTGTATACAATTTGCCATTGCTGGGCAAGCAAACATTATCTTCTAGCATTACCTCCAACTAGAGATGAAAAAACAGTGACACACTGGTAAGTATTAAAATGCTAGTTTTTAGTTTAATCCTCAATTTTATAGTGAAGTTGTCATAGATACCCAAATGCATTACATACATTTACTCTAAGTAACCAAAAAACAAAGGAAATAAACTAACTGGCAGGTGGAAACTCATTACAATGCTAAGAATAATAATTCCAATATATTATTGTTTTCTATAACCATTATAACTCATTTGCTTCAATCATCCACAAAGATTCTGTGACTAGAACTAGATAGTATATAATTCCTTATTATGTTGTAGTCTTTACCTTTAGTCGGGGAAGCTTAAGAAATTCTTCCTCTTCTGAAATTTGTAACAAATGCTCCTGAATATAAGCATCAACCTTATTTAACAAACGGGAGTCTCCCATACAACTTGCAAAATTTCGGTAAGAGATGCAGCTGGTAATATCCATCCGAGACAGTAAATAATCACCACAAACCTTCGAACGAAAATAAACAAGTACCAACATTTTTATATATTTATTCTACAAACTATATTCAATATGTTAATACTAGGTAAAAATATAAAGAAGAATAAAAAATTGCCATCTTAAAATACAACAAATTTAACGTAGGAACAACACATACAACTGACAGACATCAAAGAATGCCATACAATGCAGTTTTTTAAGGATAGACGTGACAAATTGAAAAGGTAAGTAGGGTTCAGAAATATTTAACTAGAATAATTAGCTGAGGTTTCATGAAAGGCCCTATCAAAACTGCTCTACAAAAGAGATGAATGATGTTGATGTTGAGTGTAGAAAGTAGGCAAAGAGGCTACAAACAATTTAGTATGGCTGAAGCAAAAGATAAAACAATTAGGAAATAGTTTTGGAAAAACAGCAACTAAATTGGGAGTATCTAGAATGCTAAACTTAGTAATATGTGCTATAAATCACAGAATTTTTGAATAGAGAAGTGGCATTAGAAGAAGCAAAATATGGCCAGATAGTATTTTAGTCTTCTGGCCATATTGTCTATCATAATTACTCAAACCTGTCACCACAGCTGTATGACAGTTGTAGATCCTATGTAAATGAATGAGTGTGGCGGTGTTCTAATAAAACTTTGTAAAAACAGGGGCCTGGATTGTGGCCTGCAGTTTACTGACTTGTATTAAGAGAATTAAATGCCTTTTCCCCCTATAAATTATTAAGCACTTCTAACAGGCATTAAATTCTAGGCAGAATACTTTTAAAGAGGAACCAAGATGTATAGAAAAACAGAACTAAAAGTATGAATTATATGCTTACTCTTGGGAAAAACAGATGAATATTTTAACTCATGCTATCAGAGACTGCAATATACCTCTTCAACTTTTTAGCACATTTCACTGGCATAGCTCTAGGATGGCAATACAGTTTTCTAAAAGTGAGATCAGCCCAAAAGGCCTAAGTCCATGCAGCTGTGGGAGAGCTAGTTTTGTGGTTTTGAGTTAGTTACCTTATAGTAGTCAGTGGTAGTACTACTACCTTATAGTAGTCAGTAGTATATTAGTCAGTGTGTAATTGTGCTACTTAATGAATGCTGCCAAAAAATAAATTGACCCCCAGACTAGATGTACTGTATCATTGAATTTCCTAATACCCATATGTCAACCCTAAAGAAAGTGTTTTGGTTTTCTAAAAGTGCATTTGGAAATAACATCAGATGGAAAAAAAAAATCATTAAAAAAGGAGAAACCAATATATCTACCATGCCACAGAAGACTCTCAAAGAGCAAGACATTAGCCCAAATTAGTTAAAACAACATATTCAATTCTTGGGGAAGAAGGGCATTTTCAAGTTTCTGAAACTAACAAAATGTTTTATGATAATTTCTACATTCTGATTATACAAACTCTCTAGTAATAGCAACCCTTTTATATATTTACTTCTGATATTCTACCTGCTTTACTCGGTCCATCTTCAGCTTTTTTGCTGCAGAATAAACATCTTTCACCAATTCCTTATCAGCTTTCAACCTATTTAAAAAAGAAACAAAAAACAAGCTCTTTATATGTATGATACCAAGGCCTTAAAACAGACTATTTACTTGAACAGATCTAGAGAGACTTGGAATTTTATGATGATATTGCCTAATTATATGGCTTAAAGTACTTACTGAGCAGTGTAGGCATAATTCAACAAGACTTCAACAGCTTCTGGATTGAGATCATCAAATTTAACATGAGAAACTCCATGAGGATCACTATCACTATTAAAGATTTCAAATAAATAGGGACTGCAACAAGCTAGTACTGCTCTGTGTGCTAACATCTCATGACCACAGACCTGAAATTATGAAAAATTAAAATTAGAAGTATTGTGACTTATGTACTTCTCTAGATAATTACCAAACACTCCAGCCTCCTTTATCATACATTTTAGGTAAAGCATTCTTTTAAAAAGTCATTTCATTAAATGACTATGGGGGAAAAAAACAAAACAAATCCAAGAATTTAACACCTTTTACTAAAAGATTTAATTCTACAAGTTTCCAAATAATTTAAATACCTGAAGTCGAACATCACAGAACTGGCCACTTTTCCTCAGGGCATTTAATTTGGCAACAGAAGACTCAATAAAATTTTCATCTTCAAACATCAAATATCCATTGGGAATCATTTTTCCTTATAAATTTGGCTAAACACCAGAAAGAAAGCTAAGTTACCTTTTTTGCAAGAAATGGTTTTTAAAAAAATCATATATTAATGTGGTGCCTTTCTCAAAATTCCATCCCATCAACAACATGTAAAAATTTTATTACACAAAAAGCTTGGTTAAAACAACATCGATACTGAATACCCAAGTTTTTATACCCCCATACTCTGATCACAGATCTTTAAGGATTCATACAGCAGTGGGTATCTCAGAAGCATGAGCCAGGTTTCCATGCCTATTAGCATATTCATTCAGAGGGGAAGAAAATCAAACTCCATGCTGCCCAAGCCCATAATAAGCAACCTAAAAAGCCTGGAAGAATGTGAAATAGCCATCTCATACAGATTTCCTTGGGATTTGTGTTGCTGCCATATCTTTACTCACAAATGAGAAAAACTGTTATATATCCCAATCCTGTACTTTCTCAGTTTCCATTAAGGACTATCAATTGGAGATTACTCCTAAAAATTATGTATAATCAAAATTTAAATGGGAAATAACAGCCTTCTTCCTCTGTTCCCATAACACAATTAAAAGTCTTGGTTCCCTATCTGCCAGATGATTTTTTTTTCCTCCAAATGTTTTAAAGTATAGAAAGTAGTGAGATTTAAAAAGAGGAACTTTATGCTCCCCTTTTCACGTATTCTAAAGAACTTATTTCCTAATATTACATAATTGAAACTTACGTTCTTCAAACATTTTTACATTTCGCTTATAAACAACTAATGATTACACAAAATATATCATTAAAAAGTAGTAATAGGAGATCCCAGTTTGAGGTAACTTAGTTTATAGAAAGGAAAAATACAAAAAATGCTTTTTCACTCAAAGGTTACTGACTTCTCTGCCTTTTAAACATTGTGAAAGGCTGCTACTGTATTCAGCACAGTCTTTAGAAAAACACTGTGCCCTTTTTGGGCAGGGGATGTAATGGGGATCCAACCTCATATATATTAGGCAAGTACTCTGCTGCTGAGTTGCATTCCTAGTCCTAACACTGGATCAATGCTGGATTAGACAGTGGATATTCACTTACCTACTATACTGGAAGAAATGTATTACTGGGAATGCAAATAATCCAAAGGCAAAGGAGTGATGAAATGAAGCACTTAGTCAAGGTATGAAGACAGGTAGCTGAAGTAAAGGTAGATGTGTCTTAAGCTCTAATGGTGGTTCCAAAACTATCAGGCTTGAAAATGATGTAATCAAGTCCTTAAAAGCTATAGACACGAATTTCTTCTGTGACAAAGATGCATCATAATCTGAAACAACGACAAAATTAAGTTAGACACTCAGAATGATCAAAGCCTGCAAATGATCTTTAAGAGATTTTAAAGTAAATGGCAACAGTTTTCATACTACATAAAAAATGCTTACAATTACACATAAACACTTTTCACATAACTTGCAACTACTCACATGATCTTAAAAAAAATCCTTCCCCAGAAGGCAGGAGATAATGTTTCATTGTTTGAGTCTCATCGTGTTGTATATCAACTTGTATTAAGTTGACTTGTATACCCAATTTAATAATATAAATATTCCTTAACTCTCTTTATTATTAAATTCCAACTAATATGCAAACATGAGATATCTGTTCTATATAATTGTTACAAACTTGATATGCTGTTCTCCCAAATGTGCTTTGAATATCCTGGCCTCTGTACTTTTGTTCAAGTTTTCTTTTTTTTTCCTACCTAGAATTCTGGTAGAATACCTTTGCCAGATGAAATCTTTTGGCCAGTCTCTGCCAAATCTCCACATCTGACAAGTAATTTCTCCCATCTTCCACATACAGAACCCTCTTCTGAAAGGTTACATGTGGGCTTCCGGCTTGTCTGTCCTGTGCTCTGCTTCTAGGTACAAGCTTGTCTTCCTTGATTCAAGACCCAACTGAAACCAAAGTTTCCATTTTGTCTCTTTTGTATTTATCCAATCTCTCCCCATAACTAGCCTAAAACCTCAACATAAAGATGAGTAATTTGTTGAAATAAACTAGATAAACAAAAAGTATTCATGTCTGTGATTTGGGTGATGATTTTTCTCACATATAGTAATAAAATTCTAATGAAATAACCAAATCAAGGCAATCAGTCCTCCTACTTTACTCTCCCCCCTTCGCTTTCACATGTCATCAATTATTAGTATCAACTTCTTATGACATTTAAAAAAATCAACTGAACTAAGTAATTATGTGAAATATGTGCATACTTCAAAAGTTGGACATTTTAAAATTGCTTTGCTTTATATATCAAATCCACAATTTGAAATCTAACAATTATGTCTAAATGAATCACTTGCCCCAGGACTCCAATGAAGGCCAGTCAGTTCTAATTCAACAAACTTATTGTATTAGTTTTAATTTGTGCACATTCTGTAAGTGAGCTTGATTCCATATGCCCTAACTGGTTTTTCCATAACTTAGGTTTCATTTCAAGGAAACCCAAGAATTCCAATGCAGTCTGGGACTCCTGTTAAGGCTCAATGCTTACTCCTTTGTTAAATCTGTATCATACCATTAGGCAATATTAATTTCTTCTGCTTTTATGCTTTCATCTAGATTGGCTATAGCCTCAGCCTAACAAACTAGTTTTAACAGATGTTTTCCAAATACACAGGGCTTCACCCATGTTAGGCAAGCACTCTACCACCAAGACATACCCAGCCCCTGCCGTGCAAATTATGTGATAAAACTATATCCTTTAGCCAAGTGAGATGGTACACACCTGTAATCCCAGTGACTCAGGAGGCTAAGGCAGGTAGATCATAAATTTGAGACCAGCCTGGGCAACTTAGTGAGACCCTGTCTCCAAATAAAATGAAAAGGACTAGAGATGTAGCTCAGAGGTAAAGTGTCACTGGGTTCAACGCCCAGTAACAGGGGGGAAAAGTAATAATAAAATATATCCTTTGAAAAGCCAAAATACTGTTGAGATTCACAAATATATTAAACTTTGACCACTTTTTTGTCAGCACATATTTGCAAACTTGTCTTGTTCTGAGAATAAAAATGGCATCTATTATTTGACTACTGAATGTTCCTCCTCAAATTTATTTTAGAAAACAAGTAGATGGTTATAATTACTGCAGAACTTTAGGAGAAAACAGAATTTTTAGAGCAACTCTTGGCATATAACTTTTCGTAGACCCATGTCTTAACAAGAACTTCATCTCTTTAATTTTCTTCTCGTCAGTACAACACTACTTAATTGTAAAAGCTAGTTGAAGTCCAGATGACATGTAAATTAATGCAAACTTGTTTTTGAAAGTTCATGTTCACTTTCATTAAAATAAACTTGGGCAAACCAAGAGTTTTAAACTCTTCATGAAATTTTTAGATCCTATTTGGTCTATAAAACTGAAGCACAATAATAACTTGCAGGAAAAAAATGGGGAAGATTAATTTTTTTTGAAAAGCCAGACCAAAAGCCCAACTATCCCATAGACGTAAAAGAGCATAAAAATTATTTTGCTGGGTATTTAAAATATACTTTCAGGTAATCCACTTTAAAAATTAAAACTAGCGTCAAATATATTTTAGTTCTTTAGAACAGCCAGTGTAAGAAATGGAAGGCAGAAGACTCATAAATGAATAATTAAACAACTTTAGTATAGTATCACTCAGAATTTCAGAAGTTACCACAGCCCAGAAACATTAGCTTAAGTGACATAAAATTCAACAAGTCTTAAAGAGTTGTGAAAAAGGCAGGCACAAATTCTGACCATCAGTAAGAGCAAGATAAAACTTATCAAATTTCAAATTTTCAAAGCATTCTTAAAAGCTCAAGGTAAATTACAACTACTTAGGCGTAAAAGCAATTTTTGAGGCAGCCAAACTACAAAGTAAAATACCCCCCCACCCCCCACCCGCGCAGTGGTGGGGATTGAACCTCTCATCATTGAATTACATCCATAGCCCACTTTTTAAAGCCAGAAGCTACAGCTTCCTAGTGACACCTCTACAACCACTAATAGCAACCATTATCAAAACTCACCAAACTCTACATTTTTAAACACATGTTTTTGTAATTCTTTGGTTACAACACAAATATTTGTGGTACCAAACATATGGCAAGGCACAAACTGGAATGGAATGCTTGTAACACAATGGAGTTGACTCAATTCCTCAGCGTTGAACACTTTACAAAAGGCCAAGAATAGAGACAAACCAAACAGTGAAAACAGCTCAAACAAAGAGGAAAAGGTATGACAGCACATACATTCCAGAAACTTTACCATTTTGGTTTCAATGGAACTGCAGATTGCAGGATGCATATGGTAACTAGTGAAAGAGGAAGTAAAAGACTAATTCCAAGCTTTAAACAATACTAAGTATGGAGACCATATGGAGGATTTAAGTGAGGAAGCATTAGAGTAGAAAAGTGGGGGCATTGTCTGTAGGAACAGGCAAAACATGGGCACAGGGCAACCAAAGGAGGATTCTGCACACCCATGCATAGTTAACTAAGGCAGTGAGGATATAAGGTATTTTAGCTGGGATGTAGTGGCCTCATTACCAAAAATCAGTAATTTTTTAAAAAGAATTTATGAAGCAAAACCTTGTTTTTCATTTGCCGCACAAAGAAAAATAGGAAGGAAGGATAGTGTCTGGGACTTTCTAATGCTGAGGTACCTGTTGGACATGCAGGTTGCTTTCAAAAGTGTAAAAATATTGGTCTAGCTTTAGAAGTATTTAGAAGGTGAGAGTTGACATTTACAAATTAAGATATACATGGATTTTCTTTGATTCTAACTCTCCTATTCATAATACTTCAATTTACAGCGTCTACACTAGGTAGGAGGATCCCTAACCTTTAAGAAACTCTACCTGCAGGATTTTAGTACATAATCATACTGCTAAAAAGTTAATAATTTTTTAGGGGTACCTCATTCTAGTATCAATGATTAGGATATTTCTCTAATAGGAAAACATTTAAATCAAAAAAATGTACTTGCAAAACCACATTCAATTGCCATCTAAAATATCCATCAAGCAAGAAAAACACAACTCCAGCTTATTTTTAAGCAAGTAGCCAAAAAAGTATTTAAAACGGGGGGAAGGGGAGATGTTAGAACTGCAAATTAAAACAAAGGTTATAGAAAGCAGTGCCTTAATTAGCTAGAGATTTCATCTATTAAGAAAATAGGGAAACTACTCCATGTTTCTGGTTAGTAAAGTCCCATTTACCTCTAGCTACTAAATTATACACGTGGCCCTTTGGACCATTTGATGAATTGTTTGAAATGTCAGCTATCTCAAACCATTTCTATACTACGTGTAAAGAAAAAAGTAAATGTACTTCTAAAGCATCTGTGGTTCAAATTTCCCTATGTTCAACTTTCAGTCTGATATTGTCTGATGACTTCCTATCCAGAGCATATGACAGAGACACTTTGTAAAATGCCTGGCAGGACGAAAAAGGAGCAAACCTCTCCACCCATTTCATTTGCAAAAAACAAAAGTGGTCAGCGCTCCCGAGTGAGTGGCCGATCCCGCAGCCACGGGTCTCACTCAGAGAGCCGCCAGGCCGGCGCCCACTCCAAAGGCTGCGAAGTGAGGCGCCCAGCGACCGCACACCCCCGCCCAGGATTGGCCAGCCCCGCAGTCATTCAGCGCCGACACGTCAGGGCAGCCGCTCCCTCGCTCCTCCCGCCCCCTTCTCCCCGCGCTTGGCAAGAAAAGCGGGCAACGTGGAGCGGGAACAAAGGACCCCGCGGCCCACGGCGATCGGGGTCTTAGTGCCACCACACTCTAGGTCCCAGAACCTACGCGACTGGAGACCGGTTCCCTGCCCACACGCGCCGGGCCCCAGGTCGTCTCAGAGACTGGCGCCCATACCCTGTGCTAGGCGACCGTTCCTGACAGCGAAATCGCAGCTTCCCGCGCTCTTCTTTCGGCGGGTAGTCAGTCCCGCCCTGTGGCGCCCTGCCCCAAACCCCAATGACCCCTCCAGCGAAAGCTCCTCTTTCCCGCCGCCACTCCCTGGCTTACACAAGGACCCCGAGCTGCCCTGAGGAGCGGTCGGCGCTCGCCCTGGGCCGCCAATGCGACCTGGCAACCATGACAGCACCAGGAGCGAAAGTCCGCGCGCCGCCCGCTTTTCCTAGAGTCTGGCGGCAGCGGCGGCCCACCCCGAGACCAGGACAACGTTCCGCACCTCCCACTACCCTCCCGGCCACCCGCGCCATCCCCTCCTCTCGGATCCCGGCCGCGCCCTCTGCCTCCTCCGCCGCCGGTAGGACCAGAGCGTGTTACCTGGTTCATCTCTAAAGAGATGGAAAAATTCATCTCTAGAGCTTCGATGGGGAGCAGGAGGAAGCGGGAGGGAACTGGCCCAATGGAAAGCGCCTCGAGGCAGCGGAGAGGGGCAGCAATCGAGCGAAAGAACGAGCAGCCAGTCCGCGGCGGCTACGAGAAGGAGGCAGCGCCGCGAACGACTCCCAACAACGAGCTCGCTCGCTGGTACAGCCGCGCTGAAGCAGCAGGCGGAGAAACAGCGCAGCGACTGACTCAGAGTGACCGACCTCCACGCGAGTCCCGGAGACACTGCTGCCGCCGCCGCCGGCTGCCCTCCCGCGCCGCACCCCCTCGCACGTCACCACGTGCGCTGCCGCAGCCGCCGACACCTCCCCACCCGCTTCCGGCTAGAATCCATCCGCGAATCACAGGCCAGCTCCAGAAAGATCCCGTTCTAGGCCCCGCCCCCACCCGAGGCCCCGCTTTCCTCCGCCCCGCCCTCCTCCTTCGCAGGCGGGGGCTCCTTCCTTCGCAGCTCAACTCATCTAGGTCAGCGCAAGGTGATCTCCGGGAGGGGGGCCGTGCAGCATTCCCGCCCTTCCTCGCCCCGCACCCTCACCTCACGGTTTTCGGACTGTCTGGGAACTGGTTCTCCCCTGCCACGCTCACCTGTTCTGCCTTCCCCCAGAGGCACAATAGCCCGAGAGAGCAGACGTGGGCGATTAGATTTCTCGGCGTCAGCCTGACTTTTAGGCAACCGCCCTAGACTGGATTTGCCCGCAGTGGACTTCAGCAGTGCTTGGGCACTAGTCCATGCCTTCGGGATGGAGGGGAGTCGGGGTGCGGGGGGAAGAGAGGCTCTCTGAGAAGAGAGCCTTCGTTTGGTCTGCTTTGAGTGAGAGGATACTGTAACTTCGAAAAAACAATTGCAGGGGCATAATACTATCCGTGTGCTGTAAAAACCTGTTTACTTCTCTAATTTTTCCCTGGGTTTCTCCTCTGAAAGCCTCAGCTCTTTACTGAAAGAGTCAGTTCTGTACTGGTCTTGCCCTCTTTCGGAAAACAGCCTTGAGAATAGGTAGTCCCTTTCCTAACCTCCCAGGGCCTTTTAGGCTAGGAGCACCCCTATCCCCCCAACCCCACCCGCAGACAGAAGTCAAATCTGTTACCGTGAAACGTTTTAAGCTGTGCTCTGGCATCAACTTCCTGTGACTCTGAGGGGCACTCGGGAAAGTTTCCTTGATTGAAGGTGAGGGATTGGGTTCTTCTAGTTTAATGTCGTGTTAGTTTATGCCGATTTGTGGAGAGCACTACAGCAGTCTAGACATGACTTTGTATTTGATCGCTCAGCTTAATTTGTAGCCATTTCTAGGAACTCTTTGTTAATACTTCCTACCATTCTTTACCATTAAATATGTAGTTTATGCTTATGGGGACAGGAAAAATAAATCTGGGTGCCTTCACCTGCGATAGACGTTTTACACATTTTTATAATAAAATCTTGACGCAAGAAGACTTGTTTCCTTTTCTCTTTTTCCAATTGGAAGAGGAAACAGGAACTAAGATGCCTATTAATATGATTTTTATATTTTTCTTAAAGAAGCCTGATATGTGCTATGGGCTCTTGTTTTGTCTTGCTGATAATAACTGGCATCAGTGTTCACTTTTTTGCAAATGAAATTATTAGGGTACATAACCTTTAAGCTTCTTTAATAACATAGTTTTCTTCCTTGCACTAAGAGGATATGAATTGCCCTCTTTGGATAAGCACATGACTGTGTGGCCTGCTGGACACATGGTCCCACTTGCTGTACTCTAAATAGTGCCTTTGTGACCTGAAACAGTCAACACTTTTCTTAAAGCTACAGTGTGATTATAGTCAGTGTATTTTTGCCTTTACATATTACCTTCCTATGAATAATGGCATAATTTATGTTTTGTACTTGTCTTTCAGGTAACTCAGTCTATCTTATTACTACATACCTGCTAAAACTTGAAAATGGCACATAAATAATTTCAGATTTATCTATTTTTCTTACAAAAATATTTATTAACAATTAGTCCACTGTATCATATGAACTCTTATATTTTACTTTTGCATTGTAATTATACATAATAGTGGGATTCATTATGCCACATCCATACACACATATAATTTGAATAATCTCCCAGTACCTTCCCTTTCCCTTTGTTCTTTCCTCTACTTAATTTGTCTTTTTTTTTTTAAGTTGTAAATGGACACAATACCTTTCTTTTACTTATTTATTTTTTTATGTGGTGCTAAGGATCAAACCCAGTGCCTCACATGTGTTAGGCTCTACCACTGAGCCACAACCCATCCCCAATTTCATTTGCTGTCAAGCTTTGGGATATAGTTCAGTGGTAAAGTACTAGCCTAGTATTCACAAGGACCTGAGTTTGGTCCCCAGCATTGAAAAATTTTTTTCCTAAGCACTTGTATTAGATAAGGCATATTTGGAGTGTGCTTAATAAAAATAAAAAGTTTTAATTTCATGAGTACCTACTTGATGTTAGGTGGTGCCGATCTGCCATCTTTTCATTTTCCTCCCTGATCCTGCTTCAAATATTGTTCCTTTACTAACCTCTTAACGTTTTGTTTTGTTTATTTTCAGGGTATTTATTTCCTAGAACTGCTGTAACAAAGTACCACAAACCAAGTGTCTTAAACAACAGTAATTTGTTGTCCCATAGCTCTGGAGACTAAAAGCCTGAGATCAAGGTGTTGGCAGGGCCATGCTTCCTCTAAAGGCTCTAGGCAAGGATCTGTTCCAGGTTATTCTCTTAGCTTCTGGTAGTTCCTTGGTTTGTGGTAGCAGAATTCCAATCTTTTCTTTTTTCTAGGGATTGAACCCAGAGCACTTTACCATTGAGACCCATCCTCAGCCCTTTTTATTTTTAAGACAGATCTCACTAAGTTGCTGTGGCTGGCCTCAAACTTGCCATCCTGCCTTAGCCTCACTAGTACCTGGGATTACAGGCATGCCCTATTGTGCCCAATCATAACATCAGACTTTATATGATGTTTTCTCTGGGGCTATGTCTGTTGTCCAGATTTTCCCTTTTTTAAAGAATACCAGTCATATTGGAGTAAGTGGACCCCTACTCATTTTAACTAAATCTACAACTGCTTTGTTTCCAAATGAAGTCCTATTTTGAGGCACTGGGAGTTATGTCTTCAGTATATGAGTTGGAAATGGAGGGGAACAAAATTCAACCCATAATACTGTAGTTTAGTTTCTGTCAAGGGTGGTCCACTGACCACAGTTGTTAGAAATCACCTTGGATGTTCTTACTAGACATACAAGTCCCTAGGCTTTTACCCTAGACTACTAGTGTTCAAAGAAGGAGTTATTTTGCCACTAGGGAATTTTTGGCAATGCCTGGAAATACAAATAGGGAGGGGGTGCTTCTGGTATCTACTAGACCTGGAATGCTACTAAATGTCCTGCAGTACACCGGACAGTCTCCCACATACACACAAAATTTCCACCCACAACATTTATAGTGCCCCAAATTGAGAAACGCTGCACCAGAACTGCTAAGTCAGAATGTCTGGGAAAGGAGCCTAGAAATCTACATTTTGATAAGCATCCCAGCAACTTGTATCCAAACTAAAGTTTGCAAAACCACTGCGGATACAAAAGCTCTGGGTATAGGAACATGCTCCATTTCTCCCCAGGTATTAGTTCACCTCTCTAATTTACTAGTCATGGTAGTTATGATAAATGGATTTAATTAAATATTACTACTTAGCAATTCAGACAATTTATAAGTCATAGTCTTAACATTAAATTGGAATCTTGTTTATATCTTTTAACTTCTGTGCTGTCTGACATTATTTTTTATTAACTGTGTACATTTTCTGGATGTCTTTTGCCTAATGAAAACTGTTGCCAATCTATGGCTTGGCAAAATGATCCTTTGCTGCCTCCTATTCACTGGTTTCTCCAGTGACTGGCTTGTTTGTTTCCTGTATTTTTCTCATCCCTTGCAATTAATGCTGCACTTTTCTCAATTTCTTTCTCTTCTTTCTTTTTGGCATTTGAAACTAGTGTTAGGGTACATTAATGGAGTCTTAAGAGCAGAAATTAGAAAATGATGGTGTCATAAAAGGCATAACAAGCCCAGGGAAAAATCTTAAAATGTCCATACTTCCACTAAAGTAGGTCACTGGAAATTGTTATGTATTGCAGTGCATACCAAATTGAGAACTTGATGCATCTCAAAAAGGTAGTTCTCTTAATGAGTATTCCCTGTTAGAAAAAATTCTCGTTTTCCCCATAAAACTTCCATAGACTTTTCATTCAACTCAAGCAAACTGTTCAGTGGACTTTTTCTAAAAATCCAAAAATTATAAAATTCTTCAGAATACTTAGTCCCAAATTATCTTCACTATTATCCAAGAAGACCATTTTATTGATCACCTTTTACTAGCTTTTCTAAAGTCATTACTACCAAAGGTTTTGAGAATAATTCAAACATCCTCTTCCAACACAGGGGATTTCCTAATAGTTTCTCAACAGTTTCTTAGGGATTAAAACCTCTCTGAATACATGACCATATTTCACGTATGTGTGATATGTCAAAATACACTCTGCTGTCATGTACATCTAAAAAGAACCACAACCAAAAAAAAAAAAAACTTCTCATGTCATTCAAATATTCTTCCTGGGACATTGTATAACTTTCCAGTCTGCTGCCTCTTTGATGTGTGGCCATGAGCCTTATATTCAGCCCTTGAACTCTAATGTGCAACCCCTTTCTGAAAGCCTTTATCCAAAACATTTCTTTTTTAATCAACCTGATCGCTGAGCATAAGTAAGGCATGGAGTAACAGCCCTCATATTAGCTGGGTTTTAATGTCACTAAAATCAAGCATATGAACATGGTACAGTCCATACAGTTCAATCCAGAAAGAAATCTTCTATTGTAATCACATCCAAAACTTGATACCTAATGAATGAAAGTTACGTGATACAGTTCCATTGGACTAGCCAGCCAACTGTTGCTAGTGTAAACTGATCACTCGACATGTGAAGTCAAGAGACTACTCCAAAGAAAAAAGTAGAAAGGACAGCACAGTTGGGTTGTAACATCAGTTCTCCCTACTTCTATCATGAATGAAGTAACATGAGAAAATTATGAAATTTTATAAGATCGTAGTGAACTGAGTTTTCTAACTACTGAAGACAAACATAGAGCTGTTATCTAATGGTTCCTATTCCTTGAGAGTAGTGTCTCTTGCCATGCTTCTCCAAAACTGGGCTCCTGGGGATGGAATTATCAAGTGAAATGTGTT